TTTCCTATTGTTTTTTAAAACTTTTTATCAGCAGAAGCCTAGGCATGTTTTAGGATTGCAGCTGACAGGACAAAAATGACACATATTCCCAGCAATAATGATTTTAATAGAGGTGTATATGTGTAGCTCAGGGTTGAACTGTGGAGTCCTTGGGGTTCTCTGAGCTTGGTTCTTTTCTTGCAAACGTTTCATTACCCGGCTAGGTAACATCTAATATCTAATAGGTAATAGGTTACCTAGCCAGGTAATGAAATGTTTGCAAGAAAAAAACCAAGCTCAGAGAACCCCAAGGACTCCACAGTTCAACCCTGAGCTACACATATTCACCTCTATTAAAATCATTATTGCTGGGAATATGTGTCATTTTTGTCCTGTCAGCTGCAATCCTAAAACATGCCTAGGCTTCTGCTGATAAAAAGTTTTAAAAAACAATAGGAAACTACTTACCAGCTCTTTCCTGAGCCAATTTAATGCTTCATCCATGTTTCCAAAGCCACAAACTTTCTCTGGGGCAAGCAACATCTGCTGTCTGGAAGAATTTCCATTGATATGAACATGCACCTCTCTCAAAGAAATGTTTTCCTCTGCTGGTTTCTTCTCTTGCCTCCCCATGTCCTCCTCAGAAGGTTTGGGATGGCTCTTCCATGTCAGCCCCTCCAACTGAGCTTTCCACTCCAAATAAGAAGGCCTCCTTGTCTCCAGCCTCAGTTTCTCTGTCAAGGCTTTCAGATTCCGCAGATGATCATCAAATGGAGGGCCACCTTCAGCCTTATCATCCACACTATCCAGCATTTCTTCTATCTGGATTTTTGGCATGGATGCCATCCTTTCTGGTGGAAAATCAGAAACATCCACTGAAAAGTTTGCAGTGGAGTCCCAGATGTAGGCAGCACCATTCAGACTAAGATTTGCTCCTCAGAACTTCCTGGGCACTCAATTCAAGACACTCCTTTCAAGATAGGGAAAACCATCTAAGCAGAAACACAAAGACATATTGTTTGATTCAGCCAGGGACCATTAAAAAAAAAAAAAGAACAAACATGCAGCCAGAACTTCCTTCTATGTCCTGACTTGAGAAGAAATGGAAGTTGAATCTTTCAGCTTAAAAAAACATCCAGCTAAGAGATTTTGCACAGCTATCTGGTGATGTTTTGGGGCAAGAGCAAACAAGCTCTCCAGAGAAATATTTTGCTGCAATGAGACCTGTCAAGAGCTATGCTTCAGGCCATAAAGTGGATTACTAAGGATGAAGTCAGACATAAAGAAGATATGCAATGGTAGGGTGTTGCACAATTAATAAACTCTGATCTTCATATTGTGCATAACAAGTTCTGAGCTTTTCACTATCATTCTTTACAATGCAAGAGGAAAACGGGGGTGGAGTAAAGATGGAAAAGCTAGCTCACTTCAGGCTACCCTTATGGAGGGGCAAGTTAGGCATCACACAAATCGTGTATGTAGCAGTCTCCTGGCATGTTTTAAACTGAAAAGGAAGCTTGGAGATTGTAACCGTCAATGAAAGAGTAGCCTGCAGAGGAAGGACTTAATCCTTTCTCTTACAGCTGTATTTTCACTCACAACTGGATCCACCAGATGCTTCTCCTTTTGGACAGATACAGAGATTAGTAGTTTGGGGGGTTCACTTTTGAGGGGCAAAGAAAGGGTTACATGTTGCCACTACTCCCTCCAAATTCTCCACTTGGACCCAGCTGTTTTCTAGTTACAAGGACACATTTGGAGGCTTTTGGCATATTTTACCTGTAGCATCTCAGGCTTCACACAAGAGAAAAGTATTGAAATTATCCAAGATTACCCCTGTTGTGATTGATATGAGCTTCCAGGTTCTCTGCACAACTAAAATTGGGTCACAATGAATGATAAACTCAGTTGCTAACTGAAAAAGTGAAATGGGTTTTAGCAGAGCTGAGTTCAAATCTCACCTGCAGTATGATCCTTTACAAATCAACTTCCCATGCAACTCCTGTTTATTACAAAGTCACATAATTCTGAATTTGAAGCCTCTTGTTCGAAAGTCCAATGTAAAGCAAAACCAACTCTTTGTCCACCCAAGGTCATGGAGAGAAAGGAGCCCTTGGACATGCACATTAACAAGTAATCTGAGTAATTGGGTAATTCTGCTTGCTGAATGCTTCCTGGGCCTCCTGTAATTTAAACACTAAATCTGTAATTATTCCAATGGAATCTTTTCACAGAAAGAATTCAATAGAAAGAATCACCATGAAGAATATATGGCTACCTTCCCATCCTCTTCATCATTTGGATAGATGACCTAAACTGAATCTTAAAATTTCTTTATTTCACATGTTGGTTTTAGCAATACCAAAATAAAATAGCTTTAATTTAAAAAATAACTATATACAATGGATTAACACAGCAAGTAAATCTTATTACACCAGGTATAGTCAGTAGAGAAACGGAATAATGCTTCCTTAAAGGGGCTCAGAATGGCTGATGGGATTTACACCTGTAAGCTACATAAATTGAGGCAAATTCACTTAGCTTGAAAAAGCTAATTTAAGGTGTTTCCCCACTTTCCCCTAAGCATGAGACACACATGCCCTGGCAACATCTTTTTTCTGCAAAGTCCCCATGAAGTCTTCATCTCATCCCCAGCCCATGACTGAGATAGCTATCAGTTGTCCTTAGCTGAACTGGTCTTAGTGTTTTCCCCTTCATTCTGACACCAGCCAAGAGCAGCTGCAAGGTGCATAAAATCTAGGTTTTGTCACCCATTATCTATGAAGGAAGCCAGGGAATTTAGCAGTGATTGGGTACAAAGTAATTACAGGCCAGGGTCTATCTGATCTGGGCTGCAAAAGACCACTAGATGACAGCAAAGAGATACAGCAAACTCTGATTATTGTCTGTCATTTAGTGGCCATCCAGAGTTTTGTGCTCCAAATCTAGTAACCCTAAAAGATGTAGTAAATTTCATGGCTAGTTTAGTTTTCTGCCAACTCAAGGATGACTTAGCAGGGGGGAAAGCCCTAAGTCATGAGGTTCTGTTCTATCTCTTCCTCTCTTGTGGCATTTATAGGTTGTGCTCCCCCCTGAGAAGCTCAAGTAGCACATTGAATGTTCTCCATAGTATTATCCTGTGTGAGGTAGTTTGGCTAAGAGATAAGACAAGGTAATTTTGTATATGGTTTTATTTGTTCTAAAATATCAGACAGTGCTATCAGCTAGAAACAGGAGATGTGGGGCTTGAAACAGTCCTGATATAACCATTGCTCTACCATTAGAGCTCATCTTTTAGTCAACGGGATTCATGCAATCCTAAACAGATTTTTGCAAAAGTAAGTTCCATTCTGATGAGTTGTACTGAGGGTAGAAAAGCATATACTATAGGTAGAAATCTAACTGTCAGGGCTTGCTAGGTTCACACCACATTTAAACTTGAATTAACGAAGTACAACTGCTTTCTTCACTTAACATGCTCTGCCAAAGAAATAAAGGTTATTGTGGTTTAAAACAATGGCCCAGTTACCACATTGTACTCAACCATTTTAGCTTCTTCTAGTAAGTTGGCAAACCCAGCCACAGGGCGAAAGTTGTAATATTTAAAATGCAAGTAACAGTCGGCACAATTTAATGATTATCTGCCAACATACATAGAAATGTAGCCTGTCAAAACGTTCTTCTTCATGGTTTTCCAGAATCTTTTCTCAATGTAAGAACATGTTTCCAGACCATTTTTGTTACGCTGCTATTATGAGTCCTCAGAAGGGGAACAAATATTTGTCATTTTAGATGTTTATAACCCACCTTAAGAGCAAATAAACAGGAAACCTCTAAAATTCTATTTCCCCTAAATAAAGATTTAGGCTGTCCGTTCCATCAAAACCACAATAGTGCTGATGTCAGGCCTTGACCGAAGGATATCTGTCTCCATGGTTACAACGACCCTTTTGTCCTTACATTAGGAAGATCTGTTTAATCTAGGGGAGTGACTCAACCAGGTCTACTAATCAAAATGGTTGTTCATGCAGAATGAGGAAATGTTTCTCTCATTCTCCTTCATTTATTCTCTGAAATAGCGGTAAATGAGACCCATCCAGCCTTGTGCTGATTTTTTTTTAGGAATGTATGAAAACAGATGAAATTCTCTTCAAGAAATCCAGACAGATAGCAACCAGACTCCAAAGACTCACCAACCACAAGAGGGTTTACCGGCTTGCATACAAAGCAATCAGTCAGTCAAGGAAGGGACAGGCAATATTTTTGGGTGCGGCCACATAAGAAATATTTACAGGAAGTTGTGGGTGCTTCAGAAAAATCCTAGGTAGGAGATGCCCTTCACAGAATGGTTCCACTTTGGAAATTTATTTAAGAGAAAAGAAACTGGTGAAGTTACTCCCAGTCACCCCTTCTCATTCACTGAGATGATGGTGACGACGATGACAATAATGATGATGATTTATTAAAAGATGCTCCTTATTCCTCCCTTCAGGAGGTAGGTTGACATACTTCTAAAGAAAGACCTGCCATGTTTCTTTTCAAAGAATGCCTGTGGGGCCCAGAGGCATTTTCCATAAATCAGGATGATACTAGAGACTTGGCTTTGCAGAACACCTGCCTCCTATTTAGTCATTTATTTGGTAATTAAGGAATCTTTAAAAATAACGCCTAGCAGGGTAGGGAATCTTGCAAGCAGCAAGAAAAAGCTGCTGCAGGCACTAAAGGATAAGCTAATTGGCTGACAGTTTGAGGGCACCTGACATGCTGATATGTGGAAATCAAACAGCTTTGGATAAAGCATTTTTTTCATTGTACTACCTCCTATTTGCTTTGCCATGGCACTGTCAGTCTGTATTTGGGAGCATATCGAAGTAATTATATAACAGCTTTGCTACCCCAAGTAAGGTTACCAGACATCCAGCAAAAGGAGGACATGTGCTCCTTTTTGTCCTCATGTCCTCCATCTGGCAGGCATAGCCTTAAAATCAATAGAAGAGAATATGTGTAGCTCAGGGTTGAACTGTGGAGTCCTTGGGGTTCTCTGAGCTTGGGTGTTTTCTTGCCAGCGTTATATACAACATTATATTACAGCAGAAAAGAAAACAAAAGACCAGAACATCTCCTCACCAGCAATCATCATGCAGATAAGCAGAGATTAACACCAAGATTATCAGCAGACATACA